TCCCTCCTAACAGCCTGGATGTGGCTTCTTCTTTGTATCCTTAGTTGTAAGACTTCTGCTGAGTTAGAATTCAGGCAGTTCTGAATGTTGGTTGTTACGTAGTTTAACTGTAATTTTGACTAGGTTATGGGAGGATTCATGTATTACATTTACCTACACTGCCATCTTCTAGCAAATCTTCAAATGCATATTCACACAACATAATAGTTGTTTCAGGGTATTTGGTTATTTTGCTTGTTGGCTTTTGAACATTCTTTCTTCTTAAACACTGAACTTCTTCTGCTTTTGGTGTTGCTGATCTAAAGTAGTATTTCCAGATTTGTGCTCCGGGGATGCTCTGGGCTCTCCTGTAGCTTGTGTCCAGTGGGCTTTTCATTAGCTACTTGTCCATGGTCGATCCCGCCTCACGAAGCGACACTGCCTGTGTGACTTCCTTCCCTTGCCGAATCAGTGGTTCAGCTTCCTAATCAGAGAGCCCGTTTGGCTAGTTTTTATTGACCTCTGCATGTCTTTCCTCCCTCTCTTTTGTATCTTTCCCAACAGACTCTTTAAGTCCACCATGGTGCAGGGGGATGGCTCCATCCTGGCATTCTGGCAAGCAGAGTTTGTCCCCACATAGGTTCTGTGATTGTCTCAGAACACGAGCTTGTGAGGAGATGCTGTAGGTCCATTGCCTACTCACTACTGTACCCCAGCACCTAGACCAGTGCCTGGCATATAGTATGCCACTGAATGAATGAATGAATGAATGAATGAAGAACTAGTGATTTGTCATTAAACTTTATCTGCTATGAAGATTGGTTATAATTTATTTATGTAAATAATTATTTAACTGTATTATACAAGCACAACATGTCCTTATAAAATAAGAATTAAAAAATGCAGTTAAGACTAACATATTTGTAATGCTTTCATCCATAAATAACCTCTGTGACATTTTAATGTGCATTCAAGACTTTCTTCATTGTATATCTATACTTACACATATTTTTTTTTTAAAGATTTTATTTATTTATCTTTAGAGGGGAAGGGAAGGAGAGAGGGAGAGAAACATCAATGTACGGTTGCCTTTCGTGCGTCCCCTGCTGGGAACTGGCCTGCAGGGAACTGGCCTGCAACCCACGCATGTGCCCTGACTGGGAATCGAACCGCAATCCTCTGGTTCCCAAGCCTGTGCTCAATCCACTGAGCTACACCAGCCAGGGCTTTACACATATTTTTTAATGGGACCCTACTATACAGTTTTTTTTTTCTAGCCTGCCTTTTATTCATTTAACACATGGTGAAAATATTTTAATGTCAAAAATCTACATCTACATCATTTTTTAGAAGATATAGTTTTGAAATAATTTTTTAAAGATTTTATTTATTTATTTTTAGAGAGAGGGGAAAGGAGGGAGAAAGAAGGGGAGGAAACTATTGATGTGTGAGAGAAACACCCAGTGGCTGCCTCACACACAACTGGGGACCTGGCCTACAACCTGGGTAGTTGCCCTGACTGGGAATTGAACTAGCGACCTTTTAGTTCGCAGGCTGGCACTCAATCCACTGAGCCACACCAACCACAGCTCTACATCATTTTTTTATTGGCTATCTAATAACTCATTGCATGAAGGTACTACAGTCTGTTTAACTAATCTTCTTTCTGGACAGTTACAACAGTATCTATATTGGTCTCAAATTGATGTAAAGGAGTTGGCAGATTTAAACAGGAAGAGTCTGGGCCAGAACAGCTCTTTTTAGTTCTTCAAAGATTAGGGATGACATGTGTTTCACGTCTTTCTGAAAAACAGGACTTGGATTAGTAGATGACCATGAAATGGAGGTAAATTTCAAGCTCATAGAAATAATTTCGACTTTGTAATATTTCATAAGAGTAGACAAGGGTGTCTTCTTGGAGCAGAGAACTCTTTCTGGAAGATTTCCAGGGGAGGCTGGCTGTGCTGGTTTCTGAAAGAATTTCTGCCTTGAAGGCAGTCTGGAGTCCGGGTCCTGCAGTTCTGTGACTTCCACACTGAGCTCTGCAGAAGTCGGGAGTGGCCCGATCCTGCTGGTTTTGCAGGGCTCCTGCTGTGGCTCCAAGCCCCCTCCAGTCTCTCAGCTGAGGCAGGAAACGTAAATCTCCAGTATTTACCCTGCGTGTCACCTGGTGTGGAACCAAGAGCGAGGCAGTGAGAAAAGAAAACCGAGGTTAAGTGTTTAGAAGAGGTTTTCTTTGCGGGGCGGGGGGGGGCGGTGAGGCGGGGTGGGGGGCTCTTTTATCTGCCACTTGCCTCACTTTCATTTTTTACTCTTTATTTTTTTCTTTAATTTCTTTTCATCTTTGACTTCACTTTTTATTTTAAATGAAGCCACAGGATTGGTGGGTTTGGCTGTGACCTAAGGGTGTGGGGCATGGACCCAAGCAGCACCTGCTGGGGGACAGAGGTGAGGGGTGAGGGGGGGTGAGGGACAGGGAGCAGTGAAGCCCTGAGTCCTCTTCGTTGCCCCGCCCTTGCCCACTGGACCTGGTGTGATCCCCTCACTCCCCCGTGTGCCTGCCGCGTTCCCTGTTAGAAGGGTCCTGATTGCAAAGGCCCTTCTCCGCCTCTTGGAATCATGCCCCGCCCTGTTTCAGATAAGTAGACCTCCAAATACAAGACGTTTCTTGTCCCCATTTCATGTGCCCATGACCTCCTAGCAGACCTCTCACTAGGAAAGCACAGTGGGATGAGGAGAGTAACTCCCCACGGTGTTGGCTGCTTGCGATGAGTCTGGCCAGGTGTTAGAGAGCCACTTAGGAGGCCTGCGCTGTCCTGGACGCCAGCCACATGGGGCCACTGAGCCCCAAAACACAACTGGTTGGGATTGAGATGCATGTAAGCATAGAGGACACACCAGATTTCAGATACCCAGTATGAAAAAAGGAATGTAAAACACCTCATAAATAAATCCCTACATATTTTTAAATATATTTTATTGATTATGCCATTACAGTTGCCCTATATCCCCCTTCATTCCCCTCCACCCTGCACACCCCTCCCCCACACTCCCCCCCTTTAGTTCATGTCCATGTGTCATAAGTTCTTTAGCTTCTACATTCCCCATACTCTTCTTGCCCTTCCTCTATTTTCTACCTACCCTCTATGCTACTTATTTTCTGTACCTTCTCCCTGCTTCTCCTCCTCCCACTCCCCTGTTGCTAAACCTCCTTGTGGTCTCCATTTCTGTGGTTCTGCTCCTGATCTAGCTGTCCTCTTAGTTTGCTTTTGTTTTAGGTGTGGCTGTTAATAACTGTGAGTTTGATGTCCTTTCACTGTTCATCTTTTTTATCTTTTTCTTAGATAAGTCCCTTTAACATTTCATATAATAAGGGCTTGGTGATGATGAACTCCTTGAACTTGACCTTATCTGAGAAGTGCTTTATCTGCCCTTCCATTGTAAATGAAAGCTTTGCTGGATAGAGCAATCTTGGATGTAGGTCTTTGGATTTCATGACTTGGATTACTTCTTTCCAGCCCCTTCTTGCCTGTAAGGTCTCTTTTGAGAAATCTGCTGACAGTCTGATGGGAAGTCCTTTGTAGATGACTGTCCCCTTATCTCTTGCTGCTTCTAGAATTCTCTTCTTCATTTTAATCTTGGCTAATGTAATTATGCTGTGCCTTGGTGTGTTTCTTCTTGGGTCCACCTTCTTTGGGACTCTCTGAGGTTTCTGGATTTCCTGGAAATCTATTGCCTTTGCCAGATTGGGGAAGTTCTCCTTCATTATTTGTTCAAATAAGTTTTCCACTGGTGGCTGTTCCTTTCCCCCTTCTGGTACCCCTATAATTTGGATGTTGGACACTTAAAGATGTCCTGGAGGTTCCTAAGTCTCGCGTCATTTTTTTGAATTTTTATGTCTTCATTCTTTTCTGTTTGGTCATTTTTTTCTTCCTTCCAGTCCACTCCATTGATTTTAGTCCCAGTTTTGTTTCCATCACTATTGGTTCCCTGTGCATTTTTCTTCATTTCACTTAGTGTAGCCTTCATTTTTTTAAATCTAATTTGCAACTAAAATCAACCAGTTCTGTGAGCATCCTGATCGCCAGTGTTTTGAACTGTGCATCTGATAGGTTGGCTATCTCTTGGTCGCTTAGAAGTATTGCTCTGGGGCTTTGAGCTGTTCTTGAGCCATAATGTTTTGGTCTGTTCATGTCTGTTATGTATGAGGGGTGGAGCCTTAGGTGTTTACCAGGGTGGGTCAACCCAGTTGCTGGGTTGTGACTGGGGGCAGGGTCAGAGAGGGAGCAATGGCATTTGTTTTGTTCTCTCTTGAATTTCAGTCCCCTCTGCCACTTTCCATAAGCAAATTGGGCCCTTCTGGTGCTGGTTCCAGGGTGGGTGGGCTTGTGCACATTCTAGGACTCTCTGGGTCTCTCCAACTAACTCTCCTGTGAGGCTGGAAGCCTCTCCCGGCACCTCAACCCCTGAAAGTTTTTCCAATCAGTGCTTTTAGGCTTTAATTCCCATCGCTGGGGACCTGGTTATGTGGTCTCACTGCTTATTTTTTTGCCTGGTTTATTTGCGTGTGAATGTGTGACTGCGGTCAGCCAGCCGCCTTGCACCCTCACTGGGTCTGCCTGTTACCACCACAGGCCTGGGATCTGCCAACCGCTGCCTGTGCGCCTGGGTTGGTCCAGCAGCCACCACTTTTTCCTGCCTTGACCCCTTTCCACCGGCCGCCGACTCTGCCCCTCTTACCGGTCTAATTGAATAGTTTGTTATTGTCAGACTTTGGTATAGTTCAATTTCTGTCTGTTTTGGTTGTGTATTTGTTTCTTAATCTTTGTTTTGTCCTTAAACTTGGTTGTGCGAGGAGGTACATACAGTGTTTCCACCTACGCTTCCATCTTGGCCAGAAGTCTAAATCCCTATATTAATTACACATTGAAATGATATTGTGAATGACTGACTTAAATACAAATGTATTCTCAACATTCATTTTATCAGTGTTTTTTGACTTTTTAAATGTAGCTACCAGCATTGCTTCTTGGCCTTTTGGTGAAGATCAAGTGTAGTATCTGTTCCCATCAGTTCAAATGTAGTTACCAGCAAATGTGAAAGCACGTATGTGTGTATCTCAACATTTCTGTTGAACAGCAAGGTTCTTCTAGAACCTCGTTCCTTAAAGTGTGGTCCCTGCACCAGCAGCATCACGATTTCCTAAGAGCTCACCCCAGACCTAAAGATTGGAATCTGCCTTTGAATCAGATCCGGTGAGAGTTCAAGTTTGAGAAGCCCCTTAGAGGGTTTCCTGTGGCTTTAGTGGATCAGGTGTTGCCGGGGCTGTATTCACTCAGCATGGCCCACGCGGCCGTGTGGTGGACTGTGCGCAGAAGGCTTTCATGCGGTACCTGCCATGCTGCATCATTTTTTCTCTCCCAGCATGGGCCGCTGGGGTTGGCTAGATTGCCACAGGGAGGCTGTTGTCTGATATAGTTAACACACAAGCTGGGAGGGGGCCAGAGAAGCAGCTGTGTCTCAGCTGAAGAGGGAAGTGTCGGAAAAAAAGACAAAGTCCTTGTTTGGCCATGGGTTAATGGTTAACTTACCGCAGAGGAAGAATCAGTTGAGACCATGGACTTTAGTTTCTGGCTCTTTTTCTACAAACTTCTGTGGCCTTGGTTTAATTATCTCCTCCCATCTAGGAGATCATGGGGCCCTTTGATACCCCAAGACTTGTGGACTAGGGGACTGAGCCAAGAGGGGCAAGTCGAGCTTTTCCCTGGTTCCTGCCCCTCCTCTGGGTGAGTCAGCTTCATGGAACCACAGTAAGCTCTGCCACCTATAAATTATGGGTTGGTGCTTTGAAAATAGTCATGGATACATGATGCAAGTAGAATTTGTAACAGCTTTAGTGAATGTTTTAGCCATTCACCAAAGCACGATACACTGGATGGCTTGTAAACATGAAATTTTCTCACAGTCCTGGAGGCTGGAGGTCGGAGAGCAGGGCACTAGCAAGGTTGAGTTCTGGGTTCTGGTCAAGGCCTTCTTGCAGACCAGCTCCTTCTCTTTGTATCTGCACATGGCAGAGAACAGAGAGGGGAAGCAAGTTCTCTCTTTACTCCATTAGGGCACCGATCTCACTCATAAGGATGCCACCCTCATGGCCTCATGTAGTCGTATTACCTCCGAAAGGCCACATTGAGCCCTGACTGGTGTGGCTCAGTGGGTTGGGTGTTATCCCACAAACAGAAAGGTCGCTGGTTCAATTCCCAGTCAGGGTGCATGCCTGGGTTGCAGGCCAGGTCCCCGTTTGGGAGCATGTGAGAGGCAACTGATCAATGTTTCTCTCACACATTGATGTTTCTTTTCCTCCCTCTCTAAAAAACAAATAAATAAAGTCTTCGAAAAAAAGAGAGAGAGACCACACTGAGGGGAGGATTTCCACATGTGAACTTCGGGGGAATACAAATATTCAGTTCGTCACACTGAGACATAATCCGTGTGGCCTGAGAGTCACCATTTGGAGTATACAGTTTGAGTAGAGTTTTCATTGGAACTAAGTAGAAAAGTAGTAACACTTTCCTCTGCATTACATGTAGTCTTACTGAATCGTGGATGTTTAACTGGTTTTGACCTACAGTGCAGTTCAGCTTTACCTTTAAAATGCTGTTTGTCACAATCCTTTCAGAACAGGAAAGTATCTTCCCAGAAAAATTTTCAGTTAGTGTGATGTCACGGCAGAGTTTGTGTCTCTCTGTGCAGTAAACCGCAGCAGAGGGGATGCTGCACGGATCTTGACTGGATAATCCTATTTGTCCCCAAATGACAGTTTCCATAATGATACTTTGTTTTACACTTGGAAAATAGGTATTTTTCATTCAATAAACAAATCTAATTATTTTCTTGATAAAGATCTTTTCCAATATTTGGAAAAAAGAATTAGTAGACCTGAGGAAGAAGGAAGAAACATGGATAGTTGGCTGTGAAAAGAAATATGATTTTCCTGAAGAAAATAAATACACATGTAAAAAAGAAGCAGAGAGCTAGTGGAGGAGTGAGTAGCAAGCACCAAGCAGAGAGCTAACCCAGGCTTGTTCATGCCCAGGGAGGCTGCAATGAATGTGAATATTTGCACTATATCTCCTACTCATTTCTTTATAATATAATTTAGAAATACATGTTTGAAGGATACAAATTCCCATTTCATTTATACTTATCTGTGTATGATGCCTTGTTCTGCCCTTCACTTGTTTCCTGACAGGACCTTTTTGGGGTCTCTCTCTCTCTCACACACACACATACAAGCCATTGGGCAGAAAGAAAACAGGAAACACAGAGTTAGGAATATTGAGCCTCTTGTGAGTCCAGGTGGATCGAGTCTGTGCACGTGCCCCAGCTCCCTCATGGCTTGTGAGGCCAGCAGTGCTGGGGGGAACCAGCTGCCCGCCCCTGGACATCCTGTCTCTCTCTGTCTGGTAGTCGGTGTTTTTCCTTCCTCTGCCCCATCCATCGCACGAACCTTTTTTACCCCTTAGTATTGAAGTAGCCAAAATGTCTCTTACGTTTTTTCCTGCAAAATAAAAGACACATTTTTCATTTTTACCAGTAACTTTATTGATTTGGATATTTTGAGTATGTTGGCTCTCTCCTGCTATTGGCTTCTAGTGGGTAGAGGCCAGAGGTGCTGCTAAACATCTTCCAATGAGTAAGACAGCATCACAGAAAAGAACTATTTGGCCAAAATGTTAATAGTACCAAGAAACTTCGCAAACCACTTTTGACACATTTGATCAGTCACAGCACCTTCTCTATACTCTGCACAAATCTTTTTTTTTTAGTTTCAGTTGCATTTTTACCTTTCTTGAAATAATAAACCAAATATGCTGAAAATGTTGCACATCTTCTTCCATCTTTAATATTAAAATGGCTATACAAAAATTCACTAATTTTGATAAGTTAAAAAAATTCTTTATTTTTAGAGAGGAGGAAAAGGGGAGGAGAAAGGGAGGGAGAGAAGCATCAATGTGTGGTTGCCTCTCATCTGCCCCATGCTGCGGACCTGGCCTACAACCCAGGCAAGTGCCCTGACTGGGAATCGAACTGGTGAACCTTTGGTTCATAGGCCTGTGCTCAATCCACTGAGCCACACCAGCCCGGGCTGATAAGTTTTTTAAAATGCACACTGATAGGACAGCTGTCACACACAATCTAACAAAATTGTTTCAAATGAAATTAAAGACAACTAAGTGCTACTGCAGCCATCATAAGGAAAAAAACTAAATGAACTTTTTGGCCAACCCAATACTTAGTAAGTTTGGGCGTGTTCACAGCCTGGGTGTTCCCAGCCTGGGTGCTCGCACCTGATGCAGGTGCTGGAGCAGATGTGCCACAAAGGTATTCGGAAAGTGAACTGAATGAACTTTTGGACCTGAGCATGCAGGGGGTGGGGGTGGCGGGCCTTTAAAAGTAGATGTCAAGTAGAAAGACAGTCTTCATGAGACTGGGGGGAAAGAACACCCCCTGGACACGGTGAGCCCGGGTGGGGAGAGCTTGGGAGCGGTGGGTCACCGGCCAGCCTCGCTTTATTTTCTCCTCCCCGTCCAGAGCTCCATTCTTTCTCACCCCTCCTTCTTCTCCCCTCCAGAGAACTGCTCTGAATGAAAGGTTGCTGCTTTTTAACTTCACGCAGAGCAGGCTTTGAAGCGACTATTTATCGAAGAGGAAGACACCTGTAGAGGGAAGTTGGGTTGTCGCCTAGGGCGCCCTGGAAGATTTTTAGGCCTCGCCTTTCACAAATACTGAAGATGAAGTTGTTTTCTCTTTTATTTCCTATGAATCCCTTCAACGAAACCCCTTACTACCTGATGTTTATCAGTCTGAGTAAAGAGATTAGCTTTGTGGCTTTTGTGAATCTTCCCCTGAGAACCCTCAGAGCTCCATTTGCCCTGAGTCACTGAGGGTGCCCAGTGAAGAACTGCGGGGAAGGCTTGACCAAGACAAGCTTCCATTCATGCCCAAGACGGCACACCCTGCTGTGTCTTTAGCCTTAATGGCTTTCTGCCCGGCATCTAAATAGGTGGCTTTCCCCCTATTCTTGAAAAGAATACACATTTTCAATCCAAAAATTCTTTTATGGTGTAATCCAAGAATAGCTGTCATTCGGTAGTCCAATGGAAATGGCTTTAGCGAAAAGGAAAGTAATCGAAAGATTACATTAGATCTAAGTATCTGTTTTACTTTCTCTCAGGTGGGCGTGCGTTTGTCGTTTCACCTTTGCGGGGCCCTGGGTTCTCTCTGGAGACCAGGGGAGGCTGCTGTCTACTCTCACCTCTGTGAATGTTCACCCGTGGGACCCCACAGGGCCGGGCTACACTTCTAGGTTCTTTAATATGCCTGGAGGTTGTTGTTTCAATTATTAATGGGAAGAAATTATGATTTGAAGGACAGGCTAGGTGTGGAAGGTCCAGAATTCAGTTTCTTTTTTGTTTTTTAGGTTTAGTCAGGTTGGTGTTTCTCTTTAACTGGTAGTAAATTTTCATTTTAGTATTTGTAGCTGCTATTGAGTAGTGACCTGCTAGAATTTAGTGTTCGCAGTTGTGATGATTCCAAGGATTCCTTTTCGGGTCCTCGGTCTCTTTCAATAGCAAAGATGTAGTATTTTCGCCGTTGCCACTGCCTCTGGCCACCATTCATATGTGAGTGCATGCGTGTATTTCTTAATCATCTAAAAATATTCTTCTGCCAGATTTTCTGATCCCAAGATTGCCAACTCTTTTCCCTGTTTGTGCCTTCACAGCTTCTTGCCTCACTCCTCCACAACTTCCAGCTCCATAACTAGAGTGACTTTCCTTTTTTCCCCCAGCCCTCAACAAGCCTAACTTTGGGGTCCAACGCCCAAGAGTTGAGCCCCAGCCTCCACACTTCCTAGTTGTGGCCTGCACAAGTTACCTTCCTCTTGCAGCCTCAGTTTCTTCCTGACACACACACCGAGGCAGCCTGCAGATCTGTCTGAAGTTGGTCCACTGTTGTAGACTGCTCTGCCTGGTTCTAGGAATTGTATCTCTACCCCTTGTGGCTAAGGGTGAGAGACGACCTTTGGAATGCCAGCCGCAGGAGACAAAGCCTGTCTCTGGTAGCAAACACTGCTTCAGTTCCTCTCCCTGCCCCCAGAGCTTGGTCGGAAGTCAATGACGGGTAAGACCCCTCACAGCGGGGGGCAACCTAAGCCAGACTCAATCACCTGGGAGGCCTTCATGGAAGGACTTGGGGGGTGGGCTGCAACAAAGAGCAATGGACTCTCGCCCCCCTGGCTTTGTCAAAGCCTGAGTCCCATGTCCTCTGGGAGAAGTACTTCCTGGCTCTAATCCTATTAAGCCTGAATACCTGTTGGGGAGAGGTGCAGTTCCTTGTCTTGCTAGAGCATGTCCTGGGGGAAAATCTGGCATTACAAAGACTTCCTGATAAACCTGTGAAATCTGCTCTGCTAAGAGTGCTTTCATTCATATGATAAGCGTCCGAGAGGAAATGAGTATGTCTCCCAAAGTTTCTGCAACTCCCTTCCTGACACTGACTCAGACTCTGAAGCCCTCAGATTTCTTTGTAATGTTATCTACTGTTTGATCCTTGCCGCCCTGTATTTCTGTATATTACAACCCAATAAAAGGCTATGGAAGAGGGCGCTCAGGGCCTTTTTCTCCTCAGAGAAACTGGCCACTGCTGGCCTCTGTCCCCCTGAGAAACTGGCCACAGCCCACTCCTCCTCCCCAAACAGATCTCATCATGTCTCAGCCATATTTACTCATTCACGTGTGTCCGTGGCACCAGGGGGACTCGAGGAGAAGTTGCCCCCACAGTCCACGGGCACGGATGTGTTTTATTTGCCCAGCACAATGTGTTAAGGACATTCAACATTGAGAAAAAAATATATATATAATGTATGTGTGTATAGGTTAAAGGGGTGGGAAAATGTTCTCTTCTCCCCTTCTAAGGTTTTTTTGGGGGGGTGGTGAGGGCAGGGCTCATAAATAAATTGATATAAGTCAGATTAATACAAGAAAAACAAATTTAATTTCGTATGAACAGGACCCCCAAAGAGATGGTACTCAAGGGCAGTCGGGCGATTGAAACTTATATGCCATCCCGAGCTGAGGAAGGAAGGACACCAGGGTCTGAGTCTTCAAAGTGCGGAGAGTGAGTCATGGCACAGTGAGAGCAGATCTTCGGTAACTGGAGGTTTGCCCGGCCCTGCAGGTAAGTTGTTCAGATAATCAGCTATCCTTGGTAACAGATCTCCTTTTGCCCAGCCCTTCTAAATCCTTTTAGGCAACTAAGGGAGAGAGAAAAGTTTTTCTTGAGTCTGCCGAGTCTTGGTTGCCTTCAGCTCAGAATAATCCACACGCCACAGCAGCACATTTTGGTGCAGCTCACTTGGCTCCCCATTAATATGTATATGTAGTAGCCTCGCTGAAAAATTCCCACCTCTGGCCGCTCCAACTCTCCCGCAAGGCCGCAACTGGGCCCCGCTGAGCAGGGGCTGTCCCCTGTAGGCGACATGCTCTTTCTCACCATCCCTGCCCACATCACTATTTTAACTTCCAGGTATTGCCTTCTCTGAACTCCTCTGGTGGCTCCTGGAGCCCAGCTGTTGCCCACGCCCTCTGCGCTGCACGTCTGAGTTCCTGAGCACAGATGGAAGGCCTTGGGGACTAACCTGAGCAGCGCTGTGTTAGTTGCGGGCCTTTCTCCCCAACTTGGCGCGGGACTGCCCTTCCTCACTTCTTTACCAGAGGAAGCACCCCTTCGTCTGAGGCCCAGCATAAAGGGTGCGGATCACTTTCCCGGGGACTTGACCTGCTCTCCCTCAGCACCCAGACGAAGCCCCTTCTTTGCTCAGTGCCCTGTGCCTCTCTGTCGTGCCCTGATCTCAGTCACCTACACGTGTGCCCTTCCCGCCCTACGTCTGGTTCTCCGAGGGGGGGGCTCATCTAACTCATCACAGCTCCCAGCCCCTTTCTTCTTCGCTAGACTGCTGTCCCTGAGCACACTGTCTGGCACCAAACAAAGGGCCGGGTAGATGTTTGTTGGAATGAATTGAATTCCTTGGGGAAATTCAATTTTCTATTTTTATCCTGGCCAAGAAACGAATGCATGAAGAAAAGTACTTGTTGAAGGTCGCAGAGCCCCAGGAGAGGAGGAGCTGGTTAAATCTGACTTTCTCACTCGTTGCTTTCACAATGTCTGGCACACCCTCAGACTCCAATAAACAGTGCATAAAGAAAAGAATGAATGAGGTATTCACGGCAAAGGCTGGGATCCAAGTCTTTTTGTCTTCCCCTCTCTAAACAAGGATGATATACATTAAACCAAATTGAATTTCTGCATTGGATGTGAATTGGCATTCTCAAGAACCTCCTCACTGTTCTCTGTGCAACTAATTAAGATACTGCATTCAGTGCCCAAAGGAAGGTTGTCCCTCCCATCCCTGGTCACATGAATGTCTCACAGAATTCAGATATCGCGTTTTTCTCCATTTGGCCCATCCTGCACAGAGTGGTGGAAGGAAGGGAGAATATCTCTAATAATTGAATCCGTAGGTTACTATGTCTTTCTCAGGCAGTTTGATACAGAGCATCAGCTCTCTGTTTTACTTCTTAGACCTTTGTTCAGAGAAATCTTCACATCCATCGTCTCTAATTCCTAGCTCTCCAATAATGAAAGCAGCTTTTCATTCGAATGCTGTTCAAAGAGAAGAGATTTACACCCTGGCAAGTGGCAGGTACCAAAAGATCATTTTCACATGCATTGCTGCATTTCTACCTTATAGTTGGATGGTAGATACATCTGAAAGAGAAACATTAAAGTTTAAGTGTTAGGAAAAAAAAGACTTCTCATTGTAAAATTCCCTTAACATACTCCTACTTTTTTTCTTGTTGTTATATTGGTTTGGCCAAAAAGTTCATTTGGTTTTTCCTGTAAGAAGGCTCCAGTGGCACTCAGTTGTCTTTCACTTCATTGGAAACGATTTTGTTAGGTTGTATTGTGACAGCTGTCATATTAGCACGCATTTAAAAAACTTATCAACATTGGTGAATTGTATTGATATTTTAATATTGAAGATGGAAGAAAATACACAACATTTTTGGCATATTGTGCTTTATTATTTCAAGAAAGGTAAAAATGCAAATGAAATGTAAGAAAAAACCAATTTATGCAGTTGTATGGAGAAGGTGTTGTGACTGATCAGACATGTCAAAAATGGTGTGAAGTTTTGTGCTGGAGATTTCTTGCTGGATGGTGCTCCATGGTTGTGTAGACCGGTTGGAGTTGATCGTGCTCAAATCGAGACATTAATTGAGAACGATCAACATTATGTCACACGGGAGCTAGCCAACATACTCAAAATATCCAAATCAATAGTTATTGGTGAAATTGAAAAATGTGTCTGTATTTTACAGACAAAAGCCATACAGACTTTTTGGTCAACCCAATATATCGGGGGTGATAGTTTCTAAAGTCCTGGATACAGGGGAACTTCTTGTTTAGTGTATTGAGTATGGCAGGTTGGCCCTGTCCAAGGAAGTATGTTAGATGTCTTTAGGATCTAGAGATTTGGGTTTGGTTCAGAAAGATTTGTGCTTCCTCTTATGAATTGAATTGAGCCCTTTATCAAATTCAAATGTTGAAGTCCAAACCCTGAGTATCTTGGAATGTGGCCTTATCTGAAATCAGAGTCAGTGCAGATGGAATTAGTTAAGATAGGCTCCAAAGTCAATAGGACTCGAGTAAGGTGGGCCCTGGAGGGGGTGGGCTCCTATCTAATATGACTACTTCCCTTTAAAAAGGGGAAATTTGGAGAGAGACATGCACATTGTGAGAATGTCCCATGAACATGAAGACAGAGATCAAGGAATGTGTCTCTTCGCCAAAGGAATGCCACAGGTTTCCAGTAAACAACCAGAAGCTTGGCAAGAGGCTCGAAACTAATTTTTTCTAATGGCCAACAAAAGAAACAAACCCTGACAATACCTTGACCTTGGACTTCTATTCTCTAGAACTGGGAAACAATACACTTCTGTTGTTTAAGCAACCAAATTTGTGGCACTTCATTTTGGTAGCAAAATGACTTCCTTTTTTATCTACTTCTCTCCCCAGAAGACTGGCCTGGCAGGGAGATTCACAAGGGAGAGAAGATTCTAGCTTCCCTGTTCCCGGTGTTGCTTTGGCTTCCTTTGCCTGCAGTGGGGCGCAGTGGTTAAGGGTGTGGGAACTTGAGCTGAACTTGAATCTTGGCATCACCTAGTTACTTATCCTCCCTATGTATAAATAAAGGATACAAATAGCACCACTTCAAAAGGGTTGATGTGTGGTTTAAATGAGATTATCATATAGCATTTAGCACATAGGAAGGGCATAATATATCAATTAGCTGCTATTATAACTCAACTATTTGTGTTTGTCAGTGGAATCTCTCCCCACGTTTCTCCCCAGCCAGCCTCTTTGGTCCTGGGCCCTTCCTCTCAGCCCTCTGTGTGTATGTTTTCATGTCACCCATCTGCTGAGGTGAGCTGCGAAAACAGGTGAGATAGTTTATCTAGGACGATGGCTCTTATTTTCAGAAGTAAAACTGTTTTCATAACATGATTACCTAGAAGAAAACCAATGAAATCTATAAAAAAGCTGTTAAAATTAGTAAGTTCAGCAAGGTTGCAGGATATAAGATCAGTGGACAATTGTACGGTGGCTCTTAAGATCTGGCTGTGGAATTGGCAGCCTCTGCGTCAGTGTCACTGGGGACTTGTTAGAAATGCCGACACTTGGGCTTCACCCCAGACCCACTGAAGGGGAGGTGCTAGGCTGGGGCCAGCGATTGTTCCTCGTGGGCTCGCTCAAGGTTGAGAGCCATGGATACAGGGTGACTTTCCTGTGTTTCCCAACAGCTGCTTCTCCAGATGTGCCTTCCTTTGCCCTTCTTGCACACCGGTTCTCCAGGCCTGTGGGGTAATATCTGCTCCCCCAATAGGAGGTGGTGACACTGTTATGCTCAGTCCACAGCCCGGTTCTCTGAATTAATGCTGCCCCACTAAGTCTAAAAGAAGAATGCCATTCTGTGGCAGGGATCGGAGGAGATTCCTCTGCTTCCTTTCCAAATGAGGGTGGAACCATCTCCCTGCTCCGTTCAGGGACCACGTCTTGGTCTCCCCATGTGCTCAGTGCCTGCAGCAGGTAGACCCTGAAGAGGAACAGAATTTGCTACCCTAAAATATGTCTCTTTGGCGTAAGGATTATTTTAGGTTTATTATTTTAAGAAAGAGCAGACATAAGACAAGTTCTGAAAACTGAGTGGAAGTTAGTCTCTTGTACATTTATAAGGGAAAACTGCCTTTATAGGGCAGGGTATCTAACCCTTTCTACCAGAAAGAGGAGGGTGACCAGATGTCTAGAAACTCTTATCAATGGAGAAGGCACAGACTTAAACCTGCGTAACAAGTATCACCCTTGTTTACATTGCTTTTCCCAATAACCTCCCATAACTGCCCCCCCCATACTCCAATATCTTCTTTTGTCTTTAGCTGGAGGTGATATTTAAAGGAATGGCTGCGTTCTTTGGGGAGTTACTCAGTTTTCTTGGGTCTCAACCATGTATATAGGAGGTCTACATGTTATTAAACTTCTGCTGGTTTTTCTCTTGTTAATCTGCCTTTTATTATGGGGGAGGGGTGGGTATCCACCAAGAACCTAGAAAGGCAGAGGTGGAATTCTTTTTCCTCCCCTACAACCCTCAGGAATGTTTACTGACACAGGTAGGAATGGCAGTCCCTGATCACCAACAGACTGTGTAGTGCAAATCCTCCTACTGAGGCAGGTGAGGGCTGGCCGCAGTACTTCCATTACCTGTGTTCAGTTTGTGCAGAACCGAACTGCTGGCAGTGCCGCTGTACTCACCTTGCTGCTCACGGCCCATGCTTGGTCCTCAGTACCCTCCTCTTCCTGGGCGTGAGGCTGCCTGGACCCTGGCACACCTCTTGGCTTGTGATGCTGTGCCTGCTGATTTCTTTTACAACCTGTCCTGCTCTATGGTGAACCTGCTTGACATCTTTTATAATCTGTACCTTTGTTTCATCCTGGAGTGGGTATCTGCCTATCACCTCAGGCAGTGCTGTGGTGCAAAAAGAGACTTGGGATGTCAGCATGGGCTGTGAAGCTTGTCTCTGCTACTGTCTACCTTCACCTCCTGGGTCTCCCTAAAAAGCCCTGGGGCTCCCACACTTCGTGCCCTCCTCCCTCAGTCCCCGGTTAGGACATCCTTTCTCCCTTCACCTGCTCTTACCTGCGGTCAGCCTGTTTGGAGTCAGGCGCAGCCCACACCCTTCCTCCTATGCACACACACACACACACACACACACACACACACACACACACACACAGAGTGTGCACACACATAGGGCTGAGCTGAGTCTCACAGCAGTTTTTGCATGTACCTGTGCTAACACATTTGGACGCAGGCGGTCAGCAGCTTCTGCAAGTTTTTCTTCCACCTTTGGGAGATTGCTGTTTTATAACTCTCCCAGGAGTATTTGTATGTTGATAGAGGCTCTTGACTATCAAAGCCTTCAACTCTCAATGTCTTCAACAGTGTGGGAGGTACTCTGAGGGCAGGCCTCGCCCTTCCCTTCCCTTCCCCTTAGCTGAGGGCCAGCCCTGAGCCCTGCCTTCTGGTCCAGTCTCTCAATGAACTCATCACTCTGTGCCTTCGGGGGCCCTTGCTTGGCCTGGGTGTTGTAATTATTTGTTGTTTTTTTTTTATGACAGATTCATTGAGATATAATTCAATGCCACAAAGTTCACCCTTTATAATGTACAGTTCAATTTTTTTAGTGCATTTATATACTTGTCCAACCACCACCACTCCCTAGATTTAGAACATCTTCATCACCCCCAAAAGAAACTTTGTACCCATCAGCCATCACTCCCCATTTCCCCCTCCCCTCAGCCCCTGGTGGCCATCAATTTTTTTGTTTGTTTCTATAGATCCTTCTAGTCTAGACATGTCCTATAAATGGAATCACACACATATGTGACCATTTTGTCTAGCCTTTTTCATGTAATGTGCTGTTTTTAAGGTTCATCTGCAGTGTGGCATGTGTCAGTTTTCCATCCCTTTTCATTGATGAATGATGTTCCACCGTGTGGATGTACCGCGTTCTGTTTGTCTGTTCATCCACTGATGGGCTCAGGTGTCTGGTTCTGTCCGCCCACGGTCAGACCCAGCCATGTGAACGCAACACCACTCTGCCAGCTCCATTCGCTTTTCTTGGACGTGTTCCAGTCTCG